TTTATTTTTATGGATGGGCGCTTTTTATTTAACTTCTTTTGGATTGAAGCATGCAACACCCGCTGAGTGGCATTAAACAGCTTGAAAGATCAAAGATCGTTTTTAATATAACTCTGACTGGATTCGTCTGAAAGAAGAAAGTCATATACACATTGGATGGCTCTGGGGTGAGTAAAACATATCCTAATTTTCATTTTTGGGTGAACTAACCCTTTAAGACTGATTTTCCCCATGACCCTATTGTTGCTGTATTATTCTGTTCTCCACATTTGGAGACCCATAGTCCCAGTCAAACTCAGGAAGTTCAGTATGTGATGACAATAGCAAAGAAGACGACATATTCTCTGTGAGGTGTGAGTATATAATGTCTAATAAGGTGTATGAATGCAGCTTTTGCATAACTGGATAATTACTGGTACTTTTAGTTCTTTTTATGCGGTTTAAGTATGTTTTCTGTATGTATATATAAATGTGTATGTGCAATGTGATCTCATGAGAATTTGTATGTATTTTACGTAAAACTTAGTACATGTGGTGAGGAACAGCTTCAGGCAAACTTTGAAGGACTACATGCTCTGCGCTAATCTGAATACACCTCACACCTTAAAGACTGCAGTGGAGAACTATATAACTTCAAAGAACATGGCCCACATTTAAACTCCGGTTAGCTCAGAAACCTTTGTTTCAAATAAAATAATCTGATGAAAGGATAGTTCACCAAAAAATTAAAATTGTCATAATTTACTTAATATTACCAGGAACGCGGTTGGGAACCACTGAGATACGCAATGGGTAGGATTAGCGGTGTGAAGTAGATGTGCATTATATTCAAAAAGCGTGTATCATATGCATGCCAACAAATTGCATATCATATGCACGCCAAAGGCAATAGGTATATTCCATTGCACAGACCAATCAGTGTTTGACATCAAAGTACAGCAAGAGAGATTCAGTACTTTGATGTCATACAAACACCAATCTGTCTGCACAGCACCGCTTCAAGTGTAACATACCTAAATTCTGCTTAGCACGACAAATAGAAACAGAAAATTTTGCTGTTTTATACACATTTGAATGAGATCAGGCTCGACCTTTCAGACCAACAGAATGGAAACATCAGCTTTTTTAGACTGAGAACTTCAGTATTTCCATCACGCCAAACTAAAATTGCATTTCATTGTAACTAGAAGTCAAGTGCCTGAATTCTACAATTTTGTGACGTTCGTGAGTTACTTCTAAATTCAGAGGCAGCTGAGAGATGAGCTCCTCAGTAGTTTCTTGAAAAAGCTCAGATGATCCGGTAAATTAATTAGTCATTTGTGAGGAAGAGCAGCTCCTCATCGACATCTGACAATCCAGTGACGACTATCTCCTTCACGGTGGTTGTTCAGTAATCTGGAACATAATAAATAGGCTACAAATCAATATTAGGCTACTACAGAAACAACTTCATTAAAGAGAGTCCATTTCACAAAGTCACATTTTGATTGGCACTTTTTACACACAAACTTCCTGCGCAATGAAGAACGCAGCTCTACTGAGTAAGCTTAAAGGTATGATGAAATACATTTTCATGTTTAGAGGGCTAGATGATTGTTCCTAGTTAGTTATTTCACTGTAGTGTTATTATTTGTTGCTGTTCAAGCTATTCTAACTTAACATAAAATTATGCATCTTAAACGGGTTGCAAAGAATGTGTTTTATCTCAGTGAAGTGGTCACAGTGAGCATTTTATAATAAAGCAGACAGTTAATTCTGGTGGTGGTGGTATCACTTATCTGTATTCGTGGTGAAACTGCTGAAATTGTCTATCTAAGGTGTTTATATCTGGTGAGCTAAAACATTTTTATTTCATGGATATCAATGAGTCAAATTTTCGAATATGTTGGCCTTATTTTCTATAACGCCTCAAAGCACTTTACACAGAATAAAAAGAGGTAAAAAAAAATGGCAATAATAACAATTTAAAAAAAAAAGTTAAATAATCATACAAATGACACAAAGAAATCACTTGAAAGTTATTCTGAAAAGTACGTTTTAAGAGCAGATTTGAAAACACTAAAAGATTTAGCCTGTCTGATCTCAGGGGGAAGAGAATTCTCGCACAAGAAGAAAAGGCCCGATCACCCATAGATCGTAAACGAGTAGAGGGTACCACTAAAAGACCAGAATCAGAGGAACGGAGATCACGATTTGGAGTATAAACAGTTAACGATTGAGACAAATAATGTGGTGCCAAACCTTGCAAAGCCTTGTAGGTCAGCATGAGAATTTTAAAAATCAATCCGAAACCTGACAGGGAGCCAGTGCAATGATTCTAAAACTGGAGAGATATGCTCGTTTGTCCTGGTCCTTGTCAGGATTCTAGCAGCTGAATTTTGAACTGACTGCAGCTTACTTAAAGGGATAGTTCACCCAAAAATGAAAATGTGATGTTTATCTGCTTACCCCCAGGGCATCCAAGATGTAGGTGACTTTGTTTCTTCAGTAGAACACAAACTGAGATTTTTAACTCCAACCGTTGCAGTCTATCAGTCGTATAATGCATGGCAATGGTAACAAAATCTATGAGAGTAAAAAAAAACATGCACAGACAAATCCAAATTAAACCCTGCAGCTCGTGACGACACATTGATGTCCTAAGACACGAAA